AAAGTTATCGGACAACGGAAAAACTATTCAATTAACACTGTCACTTCTACAACGTAATTAAAATGCGATTGAAAACATGGGCAGGGCCCAGATAATTAAAACACAGAAAAGCCTCCAGTTCCAGTCTCTGCAAATATCAGCATGACACCTTCAAATGCTTCAAAATCCTCCGATAATTGCCAATGTCTCTCCCCGCAAGTTGGCCCACCATTGAAAATCTGAAAAACAAGAAATTAATCAATATAGCATAAAATAAACACCTCACAATATTTTCACAGTACCCTCGAATTTTAAATATGCCAAATGCGACAAAATTCATACACGAAAGTAATAATTAAATATACGCAAGGTAGCAACATTATCCCTCTTAAAATAGACAATAAATAATCAGGGTAAATCATCCCAATGTACCGGCGACACGGAGATGCGAATTTAATTTTAATAATTACTAAGAGACAAATTATATCCAATATATGAGGAAAAAACACTTGAATACTTACATTTTTATAGATGAATCCTTCCACTGTAATGCTCTAATACCAACCCTGCAAGAAAAGAAAAATAGTAATAAAGAAACGAATTAATCATTATATATGAATTTGAGAGGGACAGAAATTAATGAACATGGACCAATTATTATGATAAAAATAAGGAAATAATAGTCGCAAAATACGCTATTATTGAGCAATATGAAACAGGCGCATCATAAATTAAATAGCTGAAATATTCAAACTAATTAATAGAAAGAAAGAAGGCATGAATTACCACGAGAAATGTCCTTCCAATATATCATTCACACTGCATTACTCCTGTTTCACAGCGTTCAATCCCATACGAATCTGGAAAATAAACAAATGTTATAAACTATTTTGTCCAACACTACATATAAAATACAGAAGAAAATAATATTGAATCACACAGAAAATGTAAACATTAGCCTACCATAGGCAACCTAACCACACCTGTCAAATTCATTCACTGCAACTGCAATACACATATTATGGCTACCCCCCATAGCGAGTGAGCGAGCGACAGCTTTCATGTAGTCAGCTGCGATAGCAGCGTCATCAGACAGGAAAATCTGTAACTAATTTAAATTCAAATTTAATAATACAGTACACCAATTTTACTCAATGCGAAATATCGAGAACAAATTTAATATGATGGATAAACACAAATTCAATATAGATATGCAGTACAATGCGAAATAAAATTAAAAAAATAAACCAATGACATGGACAGGAACAAGCAGAAGAATAAAAAGGATTAATTATGTCAAAGAGACCCGAACAGAAATTATCACCTTAGCATTGCGGTTAGAGGGCTTAAATACAATCACTACATAAATAAATAATGACGGGACCAGAAAGGAGCCCACAGAAGCATATAATTACGGGACCAAAAAGGAGCCTACGAATACAAATACTGATGATTATGAACCAACTCACCTGTAATGTGAAGGCAGGATTAAATCCGCAATAACGAGGAACGATCTTAAAAACATTTATTGAAACTTTGAATTCTAACGCTTTATCAGAAATGCGCATTAAATTATAATAAATAAACATTATTTCAGGCAAGTTTAAGACCTGACACAGAATCAATTCAATTAATAAATAATATTATTTCAGGCAAGTTTAAGACCTAACACAGAAACAGAATCCGAAACAAATAAATTTTACTCAGGCATGTCTAAGACCTGAAACATAAACATATGCGAAAAGGAGAATGTGATAATGGCGAGTTTGGTAATTTAGCCTCAGAAAATAAATGAAAGAATGTAGAAGACAAGATATGGCGTAGGAGGGGCGTAACAGAATTTGTCACCTTGGCACGGTTAGTTAATTCCACCTAATGAAAACTACAAATACAAAATACAAATATAAATACAAATACCGGGACGAGCGTAGCCCAAAAAAAAAAGAATTACAAATATTAGGAAAGTATAGAGGAAAGTGTCTCCAAAAATTATATCAAATCTTTAGAATTCCAGAGTTCATTAGAAAGGAAAGAATTACTAGGATCCCCAAAATCATCTTCAACATTAATACAAATGAATGAAAATACAAGAAAACAGAGCAAAAACGCAGCAAATCAATTGTAATAATTTATTTAGCAAAGAATATTCAGTAAATACAATGTCAAAAATAAACACTAAAAATGTATCGATTTTAACAAACGACATTTCGCATGAGAGAGAATAATGTATATAACTACAAAACACTGTCACAATAATTTTACAGAGCTTAATATTGTTAACAATGTCCATAACAAATACTCCACAGCGAGGAAGCAATCACAGATAATATTCAATGTAATAAAAAAGGACAACAGAGAATCATCTCTCTCACACTCACGTGCTGCGCCTGAAACAGATTGAAGAGGTGGGGCTTTTCTATCCCACCCAGGATACCAGAATCCTATTGGCTCCGTGCCCCTACCATGATGCGTGGACGGACCTGCGCAGAAAGACGGAAAAATCATTTGCAAAATTGTGACACGAAAAGATCGCAGTAGCTCAGAGTCAGCCAAAGGTACCAGTCGAGTAGTTGCTCAGAGACGGTCAAAGGGAACAGTCGAAAATATCAGCAATATCGGAATCAGTGAAAACGGTCGATACGCGAGACTTAGAGAAATTTTGAATATATCTCATCAACGGTAATAAGCTTCGA